GGGATTTGGGTTCATGTCGCACTACAGGTGACCCCACCACACTGTACTCTATTGCACACATGCTCACATACTCACACACACATCCTCTCTCATACACACAGTCTCACAAGCACACACTCTGTGTGTCTCTCTCTCACACAAACTCACTCTGTCTCTCTCAGACACACACACACACACACACACACACTCTCTCTCTCTCTCCCTCCCTCTCACACACACAGACACGTGAATCTTTGGGGTGAATTTCTATTTGTAGATAATTCTATTTTGTTCAAAAAGCACAATATTTATAAACAGTAAGTCAATGTGGTGTTTTATAAATTCCTACTTTAGAAATAAAATCAGTCTGACTCTAAACCAAAACAGATTCTAAACAAGGCCTCGCACCTAACATGCATTGTCCAATCTAAAATGTCACCTCTTCCTTACACTGATTAAACCTTTCATTCTCTCAGTGGAGTGACTTAAAAGAAATTTGGGGAGTTACATGTACATATTAATCAATTAAAACCTTTTAACTGAATCATAGAATCCCTACAGTGTGGAAGCAGGCCCTTCAGCCCAACAAGTCCACTGATTGAAGATTTAACAGCATCTTAGGTTTGTTTAATACGTCCTCATCAGCTGTGTGACCCTTTGATCTTTTACTTATAAATTCTGTGTCTGATGCTACCTCTCGCACCAATGCCTGAAGAAGGAGCAAGGCTCTGAAAGCATGTGGTATCAAATAAACCTGTTGGGACTATAACCTGGTGTTATTTGATTTCTGACCCTAACCTTCGGAATACAGGGAGTTGGGATAAGGGGTCATTTTCAAGATGGCAACCTGTAAACTAGTGGTGTGCCACAGGGACCAGAGCAGGAGCCACAATTATTTACAATATACACCTAGTGGCTTGAAAGAGGAAAGTGAATGATCTATAGCAGGGTTTGTGGATGACACAAAAATAGGTAGGGATGGCAAATGGTGAGGGTTACACAAAGAGTCAGCCAAGAGATATAGACAAGCTAAGTGTGTGGACAAAAACTTGGAATGAAAAGAAAGGGAAAATGTGCGGTTATACACTTTGGGAGGAAGAAAAAGGAATGGTGATGTAGTTCCATGTCAGGATGGTGAGTGGCTTGGAGGGGAACCAGCAGGTGGTGGTGTTCCCATGTATCTGATGCCTTTGTGCTTCTAGATGGAAGTGGCTGTAGGTTTAGAAGGAGCTGTCTAAGGACCTTTGGTGAATTTCTGCAGAGCCTCTGCAGATAGTAGGAGCAGTGTGTACTGACCATCAGTGATGGATGCTTGTGGATATAGTGCCAATTAAGCAGGCTGCTTTGTTCTGGTGGTGCTAAGCTTCTTGAATATTGTTGGAGCTGCACCCATCTAGGCAAACAGGGAGAATTCCATCACACTCCTGACTTGTGCCTTAAAGATGGTGGACAGGTTTCGGGAAAACAGGAGGCGAGTTACTTGCCACAGTATTCATAGCCTGCGACCTGCTTTTGTTGCCATTGTGTTTGCGGTGCATCCAGTTGAGTTTCTGGTCAATGATAACCCCCAAGTTTTTGATAATCGGGGATTCCGTGATGGTAACATCATTGAATATCAAGAGGCAGTGGTTAGATTGTCTCTTATTGGAGATGGTTATTGTCTGGCATTTGTGTGCCATGAATGTTACTTGCCAGCCCACGCTTGGCTATTGTTCAGGTATTGTTGCATTTGTACATGGACTGCTTCAGTATCCGAGGAGTTGCAAACGGTGCCGAGTATTGTGCAAACATCCCCGCTTCTGACCTTTATGACAGTGGGAAGATCGTTGATGAAGCAGCTGAAGATGGTTAGGCCTAGGACACTATTCTGAAGAACTCATGGGGCCCTCTTGCACCACAGTGGTGGTGTCCTGACCCCTGGACACAGGCCTGGGTTCTCTGAACAGGTTGTTTAGAAAGTTTGGTTAGATAAATGTTCCCTAAGGAACTTGTGTAGACACTTGTTCTGATACTGGGTTTGGAGGGAAGGTTGAGTTGGTTAGGCCTGTACTCGGGAGTTTAGAAGTGAGAGAGTGACCTTATTGAAGCATACAAGATTCTTAGGACATTTGACAAGGTAGATGTGGAACAGCCTATGACTAAAGGGCATAGTCTCAGAATAAGGGGTCACACATTTAAATCAGAGATGAGGAGAATTTCTTCAGAGTGTAGTAAATCTGTGGAATTCTTAACGCCAAAGGTCCAAAGAGATTGGGTCATCAAGCATATTCAATACTGAGAAAAACATTTTTTACTCACTAAAGAAGTCAAGAGCTTTGGGGGAGAAGACAGGAAAGTGGAGTTGAGGATTATCAGATCAACCATAAACTCACTGAATATACACGAGTATACACGATGGGCTTAATGGTCTGCTCCTACTCCTTTGTCTTACAGATTCTTACAATGCTTCACCAAGATGTCTTTTTCAAATAATGTTTCAAGGTATAACTGGAAACACAGGCATGCTTACATTTACTGTCTGTCCCTAGTTACTCCAAAAATATTGCTAATTGACATCACTACACCTCACTAACCAAAACAGTGATATAGTAAGAGCAAAGCAGTGTGACAAATTGGATAGTTTTTTTTAAAATGACCAGTATGGACACAAATGGGTCTAACAACCTCCTCCTGTACTAATTTAAAAATGCTCTTGAAGTCAGAAATCTGTGCTTTCTATAATGAATTACTGGGACCTAGCCTTTGCTAGCAGGGCTGGTCTTTGTATTCACCCCTCAGCACATTTTGTATCCTTGCTACTCTCACAAGAAATAGTATTTGACAACATCAAATTTAACTACGTGAAAACAGTCACTGCTTATCAGCAGGGGATTTTCTTCCCCATGTTTGGCCTAAGGTTATGCAACCTTGGGGTCAGGTGTCAATGTTGAAGACTTCTAGAATCACTTCCACCTTACTGTGCACTCCTCTGTGAGTGTGACCCACGAATGGGTATGATTTTCTAAGTAAGATTCTGGCAGACAGCTGCTTGACCCATGTAGGAGACTGTTCTGCCGACTTTGGCTCTAGTTCCCAGATGTTGAGGAGAACCGTTAAAAGTTCAACTACATTTATTTTGCAGTTATTGAATGCTGATAGGATGTCCAGGCCACAGTGGCCTTGACAAATTTTATTATTTTGTTTCTTTCTAACAATTTGACACCCACAAACCCTGTGAGAGAACAAGCAGTCAGGTTCATTGGGTGTTTAATGGCAATCCAGCAGCTCGTTGTCTGTACCAGGTGAATTCCCTTCATGGAGTGTTGTCTGTCAGAATTGACATTTCTCACTTTGCTTCTCAAATATCAAAAATGAAATCCAGGGTCTTGACTATTTCGAGATTAGTAAAAACAGCAGCTCCTACCCAAAATAATAGGCCATTTTACAAGCTGTAACCGGCAACTTTGAAATTTAGGCTAATGCAAATGACTAATAGTTATCTTTTGGTCAACATTAACAACCATGCATTTTACAAAGATGCTTTTGACTGGTAGTGTCTGGTGATCTATTGTACAATTTATTACTGCAGCAACACATCTCCAAATTTTCTGACTTATGACAGCAATTCTCCCTGCAGGAGCTCACAATACCATTGAAGAAAAGAGTACACTCAGCAAGAAAATAATCGTGCACCACCGTGTCAGCATTTGGCTCATGACAAAAAGAGGAGAATAAAAATCCAGAATCATAATGTAGCTTCATAGGATCATATGGCACACAAGGAATTGAAGTAGGAGTGCAACTATGAGAACACAGTGATTGCAAAGATAGTCATGTTAACTTAATGGACAACATGGGGCAGATGGGGAATATAAACAAGGAAATGAAGAGGTTATTCTCTTTGCTAAGAAGTTTAGAGCAGCATAATATTTTGTAAATGTTGATGTTCAGTGCAGGGTGTGGATATGTTTGTACAGGGAACACAAAGCATGAAGGTACAGCAAGCAGTTAGAAAGACAAATTACGTTAGCCTCTGTTCTTGTGCTCCAATTCTCTTGCAATAAAGTCTTGCTATAATCATACAGGGCTTTGGTGAGTCCACATCTGGAATAACGTTGCAGTTTTATGACTTTCCACCACCGATAAACTGAAAGTATAGGTTTGCCTTTCTCCCTTTTTATGAACAGGTATATAAATATTTGCAATCCTTCAAGTCCAATGGCACCACTCCCATCAAAGGTCACAGTTTCTGATCTGCCCATCCAAATGCCTTCTGCAACCCAAGAGGAATCCCATCTGGATTTATGAACTTGGAGAAATGTCAACCTATTTAGCACTACTTTCTAATTGTATCCCATCAAATGTCACTACTTATTCCTCAACCCTCTGCAAAATGGGGACCAGGGAAGTAATTTCTTGCTTCAATGTGTAGCTGAATATTCAGAAATTGGAGTTGGAAGAGGGAGGAGAAAGAGATGAATTCGGCCAATAAAGTCAGTTCAATAATCAGAGAGATATTAATAGTTATGTCAAAATGATACAAAACCAAATCAAAAATTATAATTTTTTTATTAGATGAATTGAATGTTACATCAAGTAAAAATACAATTATGCACCCTCAGCCAATATATAATCTAGGGACACGAGTAAAGCATTGGAAAATAAAATAAACAAGGCCTCCTTGTATTTGAAAATGAAATATTCTTGATTATAAAACATTCCCATAGCAAGCAAAAGAAAAACTGATTCAAATAAGGCATTGGACAAATTCTTGGGAAATCTTATGAGCTAAGCAGCAGGTATTGTGCATTTAACACAAAATAAACAAGTAGGATTTTGCTTTTAGTCAGTTTCTCATTTTGGTAATGTAGGTACTTGATGCTTAAGCATATCATGAACATTTTTACCTATCCCTCAAGTTCTTTTTGAACCAACTACAAACATCATGTAAAACAAGAAATTGACCCATTACACTTAATGCTTAGATTCATGTCATATCTGATCTTGCCAAAAGAACCCGATAAAAACTTTGCATCCTCTAGGATCAACATTCTTAGTTTGATACTATTATCAGCACTCATTCTAGCTGCCTGACAGGATGACATACTGAAGGGTGAAGGAGGAAACAATAAGATCAAGCAATATTAAAGGTAAGAATAACCAAAATAAATCCCCCTTAAAGAGTACTACAGCTTCTTAGTTTTATGAACCCAGAACCCAACATCTGGTGTGAGTCAAGTACGAGTGGCTGAGAGCTGAAAAGTACCTTAGAGTGTTGGAGCTCATGAGCGGAGACTTCAGTTCTTTACTATGCTTTTTCTCGGTTTGCCCATAATGCATTAATTTAGTTAGTCTTTCAGGCTTCTTCATAACTGCAGTTAATAGTAAAGCTCAGCAGATAGAATCAAGATGTAGCTTTCTTCCTCCATGCTAAGCACTTCAACCAGCTGTCCAGCTTGAATCAATCAAAACACCAGGACAACTTTAACAATTCAGGAAAAGGGGGAAAAAAAGAGTGTGGGGGCAAGAATAAAAAATTATCTATGGTTGCCTAGTGTCAAAGCAAGCACTAATAATAGAGTAATTTGGCTATCCTTTATCAGAATTTAAAATTTCATCATTTCTACTGAAAATTTCCAACCATAAAAAAGTAACTGTCATTACAGCTGTATAGATAACAGAAGCTGTCATGCCTGAATCTAACAGGAGTGTAATGAATAAGTTAAATGATTTATAGTGGGTAGATTTATTAATTCAAAACATGTACCTCAAATAGAAACTGTGAAGTTTAGTTTCTTTACTACTGCCGTAGTCAGAAATGAGGAAGGAAGCAGTTTTGCACCTACAACAATAAAGGAAACCATAAAAAGACCTGCTTATTTCAGTAATTTAGATTTGCTGGAATATCCACAGTGACAAAATAAGCTAAAAATGTTTTAGAGCTGATGATTTCCAATTTTAACTGAACCTGAAAGCAAACTGCTTTGGTCCAGTTACATCACTTTACATCAACGACTAACAAACTAACCAACAAATGTAGTGACAAGTCCTACCCCCAACCCATGCAAAGGACATCACAACAATCAAAGTAAAATAGTTTGTATATGAATGGATATGTCTATACAACATATGCATACATATAAAGGCATGTAATTTCTTACAAGTTGGACTGGGTGCACAATCAGTAGAAATCTGCACTCTTACTTCAAGTTGATTTCACCGATCATTACTGTCTATTAGCATAGCATACGGCAGAATAAAAAATAAAATTACCAGACCTCTCAGCACACTTAGTGGGAAAGCCATCACAAAGAAGGCTTTTTTGCATTGCTTCGTATACTAGCATCTTTCTATTACCTGAAGTGATGTCTACTAATATTTGTGCAATGTAAGTTAACAGTGTGTGGTACTCTTGCGAATGCTCTCTGTACAAAAGTCATTTCATAATATAAATTTTCTAATTAACTGAAAGTTAGAAATCTTATTTACAAGGACCTTATTGTTATAAGCAGCAGACCCTGCCAGAAGTATTAATTCCTTCAAAATCTTCTTCCACTTTGTATTTTTTCATAGAAATAAATATGGTATTCAATAAAAGCAGAACTTTGCTTCAGATTCAGCACTTATGTAAATTACATACTAGATTATAATTTATAATTTACATATTTTAATTGGGATTTTATAACTAGTTAGTCAATTGCATGGATAACCCTTCATTTGCTGACTTCAAGCATAGTGACTTTGTCCGTCTCTACCTCGAGGGTCGTTTCCTTTGATTACCCATGATCGTTGTGGAAAACACCATTCTGATGCAGTTGTAGTCCTGTATTTCCAATGAAGCCCAAACTAGTTATGCACTCTTCCAGTTGGTTCCCAGATCATCTGATTACCATTAATTTCCAAGTGTGATAGCATCATCCAAAACAGGTGAGAAAAAACTGATCACTATTTGTGAAACACACAATATTGGACTGACTGACCCAAATTACAACTGTGGTAAGAATTATCAGAACAGGTCTTCAGTCATTCTATCACCAATTCCATTGATTATAGTTTCACTGCACATCTAATTAAAGATCAGTCTCATAGTAAGCCATTTTCAGCACATCCACCGCCAACACCATGACGAAATTCCTGAAGATTCGAGACACCATGAAAATGGACAAATGCGCCAGCTACAACCAGAACATGGAACAACTGATGGGAATGGAACTGTGGAAACAAAATCAGAATTAACAGTCTAGATTAAAGAACATAAACCATATATAATTAATCGACTGGATCATGCAGCACACTGATTTTAAAATCAACATTTCTACTAGTATGTTACTTTCCAAATGTCTACAAACAAAGTGTCTGAATTTTTATACGAACATACATGTTACAAAAATTGAGATATCTTTGTTACTGCTATATTTGACAATACTATCTTACTGTGTTTTTCAGTTATAAACCTGATAAAAGGTGAGGAGCTCCCATTTTTCCTCTAATGACATTACTAGTTGTAACTAACACAGAACTCCCAAAAGCTTAAGGTTATTCTGTAAAGATAGTAAGTAATGCTCTTTAAAAAGAATCAGAAACAAATAAATTGGGGGACAGAAGGAGTAATTTGATTGCTTAGAGCATACAACTAAAAATGCAGAAAGTTTAAAAATATTTTTTTGAATTAAATTTTTTTTGTAGTGTCCACTGATTATATTTTAACAGCAGATTCTCCAGTATACGAAAGAAATTGAACAGCAAGCCAAAAAAAATAGTAATTGCTAGTTATTCACCCAAATGTCACACTTCCCAGGGAAGAAACGCTCAGGAATCCTGGCAGCATATAAGGCAGCTCCCGTGATATACAATGTTGCCATTAAGAATAGCCAGCCAATCTGTCCAATTGTAGCAGCCCTGAAAAATCCTTCAGACATCATAAAGTGCAGGGTAGGCACAACTCCACTCAGCCCTAATCCTACAAATACTCCTATGGAAGGAAAAACACACAATGAGTCATGGCTCAAATGCAAGTTAAAACAACTATATGACAAACCACTTACTTAATTAAGCGCCATCAATATTTGATATCTGTAAATTATTCCATTAGTGTTATCTAATTTGCATTAGGTGACAATATTCTGGCTTTAAGAGGTTTATTTTGTCCTGTTTTCTTTTGTGAAGAGAGGTGGAGAGAGAGTCTGAGTGATCTGTACCAAGCCAATAAAACAAACAGCTTGAAAGGCCTTGGGTTTGTTTTTTTAGAAGTTGCAACAATACACACAGTATGAATGGATGGAGTCAGGCTCCCATAGAACCAGGGTTTTAGTTTAGCTTTCAGCAGCTGTTGGGGTTTTGAAGCTGCCATACTGCTCCCTCGGCTACAGCTAAAAGCTTGATTTCTCTCTCTCTCTGCTAGAACTTTCTCCTGATGTTCTTTCCTCCTGGACTGGAGACACATTGTCTCACATGCAATCTATTTTACTGACTTTGCCTTTACCAAAGGGGTGTTTTTGGGATGTTACCAAATTGGAAGAATTGCTTTTTTAGTAATTAAATAATCTATGATTTTGTTAGGTTTTCCAATAGAGTTAAATTAGACCAATTCCTCTGTACAGTAAGAATAAAGTGTGTCTTGCTTGAAGCTGAGTAGTGTAATCAAATTACATCTGGAACACAGCACCTTACATTTGCCTTTAAAGATAGGCTATTCTCCTTGCTATATTTGAAGGGGGTTTGGCCTGATCCATAACAATTGGTAATATCTTTGTTTAATACTACTAAGCTGAAGTAACAGAAAATAGGAACAGGAGAAGGCCATTTGCTTGCTCCACCATTCAATTGAAGGGGGTGCAAGGGGACAAAGGGGGCTCAGCAGAGAGCAAAATACAGACAGCAAGTGCAAGCACAAGAGCAACTGAGGTAGGACAGAGAGCAAGGTGGGGGAGGTGCGGGGGAGAGATCAAGGGAAGCAGGGCCAAGAGAAAGTGTGTGATCAAATACATAGTGCAAGCGGGAGAGGGAGAACAGAGAAAGCGAGCTCAAGCAACGACACAGACACAGCAAGTGAGGACAGAGCATGAGAGAGACCAAGAATAGATGGGGAAGAATACGATTTCCACAAACAATAAAAGAGACACTCTAGAAAAGTTGAGCACGCCCCCTAAACTTTGTTCTATGCTTCCACATAATTGTATTGCAATGAGAAATAAAGCTTAAGATGCAGTGAGGTCTGCAGGCTATCAAATGTACGAGGTTCCTCTTTATTCTATGTGAATGTAGTTTTGTTTAAACTCACATGCTCTATTTCTAGCCCCCCAGTCCATTCTAGATGTAAGGGCAAAGCGCAAATCTTACTGCCTTCATGTGGGTTAGGCTAGCAGCCAGAGGGGAAAAAATACAACCAGTGACAGCTGCTCACACTTACTATCAAATGCATTGTTACCTCTAGGCAACAAGCATTTTTTGATGTTGAAGTAACAGTGAAGTTGGGGTGCGTGAAAGTGGCAGCAGCGAAATTTGAGAGATAAAGCAGTTGTTAGTGATAAAGTAAATGCACTAACACATTTTTCCCTAAGTGGAGTATATCAGCACATTTTGTAGTGATGCATGCCACAGAAATACAAGGCGTAGCTTGGTGTTTAAATTGACTATGTGCCAGTACGAAACAGGTTACTGTTATAGAAAATTACTTGACAAGATAAAGCACATGTTCTTTATTTATTTATTCATTCATTCACGGGATATAGTTACTGATTGCTCATCCCCAAATTCATAGCTTACTAGATCATTTCAGAAGACAGTTAAAAGTCAACCACATTACCAAGTTGTAGCCACATACAGGCAACATAAGGATGACAAATTTTCTTTTCTGAAGAAAATTCTTGAACAAGATGGGTTTTAATAACAATCCAGCAGCTTCATGGTTACCAGTACGACTATTAGTTTTTTTACTTCAGATCCAATTAACTAGTTTAAATTCAATACAATTTTTCAGCCACTGTGGCGAAATTTGAACTTGTGCCTCCGGATCATTAGTCTAGATCTCTCTGAACAGCAAGCCCAGTAACATTACCAAAAAGCTAAACTTATTTAAGCAGTTCAAAATTATACAATGCATTACCGAGCTCCATAATCAATCTAAATTTGTTTCTAAAAGGAAGCATTTTGAATAGCATTTTGAAATACAGCAAAGAAGCCAAAAAAAACTACTGCTTTCAAAACGAGCATCTAGATAGAAACATTAAAAAGAAAACAAGATAAGTGAGCCTAAAAGTTACCTCAGCAAACAGTCGTATAAGAAGTTGGATGAACTCATCAACTTACCAGCACGTACACCTCTGTATTGTGGAGTTGCAAAATAGTCCCACTGGGAAACTATAATTGCAGTGATGCCAAGTACACAGACAACAAGCAAGTAAATGAAACATGGTTGGGGATTACAGTAGAAGGAGTAGTACAACCATGGTACAAAACTGCCCATTATTAGAAGTGCTATACCAGAATAGTCCAATCTGAGGAAACAAGACAGGGGCATATATCAGATTAATTGTAGCAATACAATATTCTCATAGGCGTGATAAATTGGCATGTAAATGAAAAGCAAGCACAAATAAATAGTAAAAGAAACTGCTATGAAATTCAAAAACAGTGGTATTAAAGTGAAAATATATTCTGATCTCTCACTAAATGACCATTCACAATTACTGACAAAGCAGTCGGTCAACGATAGTCAGCTCATTTCCAAAGACGACAAAATTTATGGCGGCTGGGAGATCAGGTTGCAGTACTAGGTGTTGAATCCTAATCCATTTGTTGAAAAACTGGCAAACCTTAGTGACATAGCATGATGCGTTGTATAACAAAAATTAAATAGTACACAACATGTAAGTTGAAGCTCGCTTTACTGAGGCACGAGGGCAGACACACTGGGTTGTAGCAAAGCTCAGTGTTTTCCAGCAAAATCTGCCACAAAACAATGGCAGCAAGAACCAATAAAAACCTTCTGATGTTAGATAGATATAGTTTACAGTTAAACCCATTATTTTGGCACAAAATAGTCAGAACAGCTAGAACAGAATCAGATAAAAGGTAAAGTCACCATAGTCCCAGAGGGCTATAGGGCTACTCTCTCATTAGAAAGACAACTGATGGTGAGTTTAACATGAGGATCACCACGCCACGGGTGAGGGGAAGGGATGAGAAGGTAGGATCTTCATTTTGACCTCAGCCATTATGGTAATTGAATCCATGATATTGCCATCTCTCTGCATTGAAAAGATGGTCTCATCAAACAAGCTAACTGACCCTCAAAGAGCAAAAGCAAACATCAGAAAAGTTTGTAAAGATTTTGTTAATATTTAGTTAATTTTGCATGCACACCTAATAAGGGGATTTTAGTCTACATGTTGCATGTACATATTAGTAAGTTCAAGGTTGAAAGTGAAAATTGGACAGCTACATGGAAAAGTCATGCAACAACAAATAACTAACAGTTGCAACCCAGCAGTTTCTATTGCCAGATCTGATTAAATGTAAACTCTAAGATGACATCAGTTTACAGTCCAAACACTTTTTTCTTGGCAATGGAGGAAAGGAAGGGGAGAAGTAAATAAGACCAGAGATCTTTTGCTTTGGTAATCAATTACAACCAACAGTTCTGTTTTCAATTCAAGATAAATTTCAGAAAAAATGATCCTCACCTTTTCGGAGATGTCCAGAATACCCTTTATAGTAGTTATAAAATGCTATTTACAATTATGAATGTTAGGTAATCAATTTAATATGGTTCTTTAACACATGGTTACTTACTTGGAAAATACACGTGAAACATTTTCTGAATGGCAGTAGAACGTATGAAACAACCAAGAGAAACACAGGCAGAGTATGGCCCCCAGGAAGAATGCCCCAAATACTACTTTCTCCTGCACAGGAGCAACAAAGGATATGTTCGGCCTAAACATGTAGAAAATTCCAAGACCAAGGAAGAAAAGACAACCTGAGAAAGAAAAGATCAATATGTATAACAAACAGATGCAAACAAAAACGTTTAGAAATAAATAATAAGTGGCAATGAATCAATGGACACTTCTTAAAATGAATTTGTCAATTAATGTTCTGTGGTACATGAAAGACTTTTTGGACCCAAATTTCATACTTTATCAGTGCTAACACCATAGCTCTGAATATAGAGGAGATAGCTGTCATGGATTTATAAGAAAAATAAATGGGATAACCAGGTACAATCTCAAATATAATAGGTTATATACAGTACAAGTGCAATACACCGTGGATCAATATATTGCAAATTTGTTCACAGCCTCAGGTTTCTCATGGCCTCCAAGTCAGGGACCAGCTCTGCTAGTTTGCATCAGAAAGACATTTGCTATCTTCCAATCTAATAGAGCCTGCCCATATTTAGGAAGTGTCTAACACAGAGTAATTTGCTCTCTTACCATTTTACGTTGGAGTCTTTCAATCTTCTGATTCCAGCTCAATTAGGAAAACAGAGTCAGGGGCCACCTCTTACAGTTTACACTGCAGTCTCCCTCTCTCACCTCCCCAGCTGCATTACCTATCACCGCCCACTCACAACAGTGTTCTCCTGCCTTGTTCACTGCCACGCCACAATAATGCTCAAGTATCCGACAGCAAGATTCTTCAGACATCGGCTGCATGCCTTCCGGGGTAGGGATACTTTGCTGTGGTGGTAACCACTCCTCAAGCTGGGCAACAGGAGAAGGCTGAGACGGTTGCAGTGTTTGGATGGAAAGCCAAGAGTGTCTCATTTGAGCCAAGAGGCCTGGATAAAATGTGAGGTACCCAGCCTCAGTGGTTCAGCTACAATACTGTTTCACTTGTTGGACCTCAGTATCCAAGTTCTTTCTAATTTCCACTGTAGTTGCAAACAAAGTTCAGCAATTAAGCAAGCCTCTCACTCACAACAGACAAAATATGTCAGAGCCCTTCAAAAGGGAGAAACAGGAGCAAAGATAAATAAAAGGAAAATATGGAGTGGAAAGTGACCAAGGGAAATTCATTTACAAAGCGCCTGAATGCAGAGGGGAAAGAAAACCAAGTTCAGTCAAAGCAAAAGAAATCGCTTTTGGAAATTTAAAACAAAGACAGAAGATGCCACTCAGTCAAAATCTAGACAGAAAACATACAAGTTAATATTTTAGACATAATTTTCACCAGAATTCAATACAAATACAGATTAAAAATTACAGTACTGTCAAAGAAACAGTATGAAGAGAAGGGGGAGGAAAACATAACACGAGAGGAAACAGAACAACTTATAGAAAGACCTTTAAAGGCAAACGATAATGAAATAGATCAATTGAATAAAGACATTTAAGATACACAAAGAACAAATAACAGGTGCAGTAAACCTGTCTTGCTGAATATGTTCAGCATTTCTTTGTTATTTTAGATTTTCAGAATGAACAGCATTTTGTTTTCGTGTTGAAAGATGAGGAAGATCTGAATTGGACAAGCTGGTAAACAAAGACAGAATCTCACAACTTCAGAAAATGTAGGCAGTTACTAACAATACAGACTGTCTCAATAAAGCATTCCACCCAGAATGAAATAATTGGGAGGGGGGAAAAAAAAGAAACGAGTTAAGAAGCATCGTGATTGAATCTCAGATCACAGAGCTCTGCAATCTTTTACACTTTAGATATACACTTTTTTTTATTCTTCCTGCCAAAAAAGGACAATTTCACATTTTCCCACATTAGACTCAATTTGCCACAACTCTGGCACTCAACCTATCTTAACCTTTTTGTAGCCTCATGTCCCTCTCAAAACATACATTCCGACCAATCTTTGTGTCATCAGCAAATTTGGCAACCACTCATTTCATCCTTTCATTCAAGTCATTTATATAAATTGTAAACAGTTGAGGTCACAGCACCAATCCCTGTGGCATCCCACTCATTATGTCTTGCCAATCCGAAAATGATCCATTTATGCTTATTCTCTGCTTCCTTTTAGCCAGCCAATCTTCCCTCAATGCCAAAACAACATCCTACACAATGAATTTGTATATTCTGCAATAAACTTTAATGTGGCACCTTACCAAAAATTGAAGTAAAGTACCAAAAATAAACAGAATGCTGGAGAAGCTTAGTGGATCTGGCAGCATCTGTGGAGAGAAACAGTCAACATTTCAAATCCAATATCACTCTTCTGCACAGCCAAGAGTCATATTGGATTCAAAACATTAAAATGCTTCTCTCATCATAGTTGCTGCGACACCCAAGTTTCTCCAGCACTGTGCCTGTTTCAGATTTCCAGCATCTGCAGTATCTTGCTTTTACTCAAGTACAGTACATCAACATGTTATTTTCTTAAAGAACTCAAAACAACTGGTTAACCAATGATTTCCATTTCGCAAAACAATGGTAAATATGCCTGATTACCCTAAACTTACATAAGTACCCTGCTCTAACTTCTTTAACATTAGATTCCAATATTTGATGTTAAGCTAAATGGCCTGTAGTTTCCTGCTGGCTTCCTTCATTTTTGAATAAAGCAGTGACATTTACCATCTTCCAATCTAATAAGTCCTGCCTCAAATTTAGGGAATTTTGGAAGATTGAAACCATTGCAACAGCCACCTCACTAGCCACTAAGACTCTAGGATGGTCTGTTGTCAGCCTGCAGCTCCAACACTTCACTCAGTTCCACTTCTCTGATGGTTGTAATTTTCCCCAAATTCCTCCCTTCTCTCCATTTCCTGATTTACAATTGCTTCTGAATATTATTCATAATTTCGATGGTGAAGACTGATGCAAAATGTATGTTCATCTGCCAATTCTTTACTTTTGCATTGTCAATTCTCCAAACTCATTTTCTAGAGGACCAAAGCTCACCATCACAGTTCTTTCATAAAAATTTATTGGAATTCTTACTATCTTTTTATATTTATGGTTAGCTTGCTCTCAAATGCTAATATTTCCCTCAATTAAAAAAAAATCTTTTTATATTCTGTCAATTCTTCTGACTTGCCACCTGGCTTAGCACAATTAAGTTTAACTTTTTAAGTTGACCACAAATAGTGGATCTTCCCATGTAATTTTTCTCACTCAATGGAATGCATTTATTATGTGCATTTGGAAACATCCTTTTAAATGTCTGTCACTTCATTTCTATTTACCAATCCTCCAACCTAATTTGCCACAGAGGAATACTGATTGGTTGGAGGCTTACTAGACTGAAATCGACCAAGAGGAACGCCGTCATACAACAAGGAAGTCCACAGCAAAAAATGTAGATACTGCCAGAGCTGCCATTACACAGACTCAGCAGACTGTAGAGCACGACGACAACCAATACTGGTTGAAATGCTGCAACAGTATGAAATCTGCTATTGAACCCAGTGATGTATGAAGGAATTAAGGAACAATAGGTCGTGCAACAACCAAATTGGTCCTCTTGGAGTCAAAACAAAAATGGAATGGGTCACTGAACTGAGTAAGCAGATAGAAAGGTGGTTGGCCCACAACCACAAAATCTACGTAATGAAGACTGGTAAAGATTCTCCACTATTGCAGACATGCCTCTCATGGAGAACCCGGAGAGCAAGCCCACTGTCTATCTTACCAGTGGTACAGCCCTGGAAAACGATGGCATTCCGCTTGAAATCAGAAAAAAGTAGGAAACCAGAATTGCTGCAGCACGTTCATAAACTTTTGCATGTCTGCTGGAAGCAAAGATTTGTTCTTCTAGCCATGTATGATTCAAATACAGTCCCCCTGCACAAACTGGCATTGCAGTGCCTCCAACAACTACTGAGACAAATTACGTGGAGAAGATCTTCATCTGTTTGCTCGGACCAGATTGCAGACCTTGATGTTATGCATCTAACCAGAGACTCAATGTGGTTCCAGAGCTAAAAGATTGACAGTTGACAATTTTATAACTTTGACAGTTACAGAAGTAGTATAGCGAACAGTATTTACCACTCTACAGTGGCTTCACAGGCCTCCCTGCAAGAGTGGCCCATGTTTGAAAGACACGAGATGGCCAACAAGGAATAAACAAAAAAAAGCCTGCTCCAGCATTAGACACAAAATGGCCAACAAAAGATCATTTAAGTGAAACATAATAATACCTTTGAACAGGGCTACTCCAAGGTGAATGAGGGGCCCTACAAGCAACCATCTGAGACAGTTTGATAAGAGGATGCCTAAGGATAAGGATAATGATAGTGATTCCAGCCTCATTAATGAAAGGACATTGTCCCATTAAGCAATCAGCACCAGTTATACAGGGGTGTAAATCACAGCCCACGAACCTGCCAGCCTGACTCATTAGCTGCTGTCTTCACAGCTGTTTACACTTATCTTGTAGTAATTATTTGTTTCTTTTAAGTTATTCACAATATTAAGAAATAGGTTCTAGTTAAAGATTCTTCAGATAATCGTAAAGATAGATTTCAACGTAAATATAGATACACATGTAACCATAGTAATAACAGAAGCATTAGGGGATAAATATAGATGTAAAAGTTAGTCAATCTTAGGAAACGCTTTCTCTTGTCTCTAAGAAAGATGCCTGGTAGGCCCTGAATGAAATAGATTGGTCGCAACTTATTAATTACAAAGTGCTAACAGTAGAAGTGGCTGTATAACTTTACACTTTAAATTAACTTTATAACAGAAATTAATACTACGAATCTTACAGGAGTTAGTTAAAACCAACTGCCTTTTGTATTTTTTATATACATGATTCGGACAGTGGAAAATATGAGGAATAACCAAATTTGATAAAAGCTGCACATGGAATACAATAAATAACAGAATTCAAGCAGTCCATAGGGATAAGCAATTCTGGGAGAGACCAGAAGGAGTGTAACCAGTAACTCTGAAATGCTAATAGGGTGCATAGAAAGACCCTAAGGCCTGCAGATTACAATGTCTGTTAAATACCATGAGACCATGGGAACCTGGGGCTGTCCATACAAATGCCCATCATTGATTAGGTGTTTCACAGGATTGGGCGTATAGAATACGGGGGAAGAACACAGTGACCACGCTGTAAATGATTATTGTAACACAAAATGTAAAAAAATGCTGTATTTCACTGTCAAAATTAGGGTGTGTCATTGATCTCTCTTCCAATCTGAGCCAAAGATTAAGGGAATAATTATGTTCTCATGTTGAGGCCAGATTCGGGGAAGATCCTTTGGCCCTCTCCCTGCATTAACTGGTTCTTGCTTGAATAAAAGTCCGCCACTTGCCTGAATCCTGCCCGCCTCCAGAGTCTTTGTCCCCAGTCAAGGGGTACGCTCCTACACTCCCCAAGGTCTTCGACAGAACTCAATTCTTTTAGGTGCTGCAGACAGCTGCTCATCTGCACTTAAATTCTTCTTTCCATGAGGACCCACACAGTTCCATCAGTTACAATGGAGCATCAGACACTGTCAGGATCACCAGCGTCCTAATGCCAACTCTTTTTGCTACATTTTTCACCGTGCTGCTACTGTATGTTTTCAGTAAATCAAATGATGCCAGAGATGAAAGCAAGCTGTTGAAACTGGTCTTGGTACGTAGTTTTGCCGAAGTGCATAATGTCCCAGTGCGTGAAATCCTATTTAATGAGGATGCCATAGTGAAAATCACTTGTAGCAACTTGTTGATTGGTTCTCCTAGGCCTGCAAGGAGTTTGGATTGAAAACCAGTGTCAAGAATTTATGGACCAGGACAGAGATTCCCCCCTCCATTAACTGTAACATCATCAACAGGTTTACATATCTTGGACAGACAATAATCAGCAGCATGCACCATGTTTTGTAAATCAGCAACAAGGTTTCTGATGCTATGGGAGTCACGTCTGTGAGGTGAGAAGTCAAGTGTGGACAAACAGCAAACTGACTGAAAATATAATGTTTGTGTACCAGGTATTTCTCACCAGTCTTCTTTACATCAAAGCAAAAAACAACTTATGCAGGCAAAGAATAGCAACTGAACAGCTGACACCTCCACTGCTCAATGTAAATATTGGACATCTTCTGGCAAGTTACAAGTGCTGAATATTTAAGTACACTGGCAGGCAGGGATCCCCAGCATGACTGCTCTCAAATCAACGACAACTCTATTGGTTGGGTGTTGCAACCCAAATGAACAACTGCTACATCCTCCAAATATATTCCATGATGCGCCCGCTATCAAGATCATCAAATTACCTGGGGTCAGACTCAAAAACTACGACAAGTTCTTGCAGCTATCTGGAGTGCTAGTGAATAAATAGATAGGAAGGACATAGGAAAAGCACAGACAAAAACAAAAGTAAAATGGCAGATATGGTAGCCCAGCAGAGGAAAGAAACATCAGTCGACGTCATGTCAATGCCATTCATCTCTGAAAGGAACACTCAGAAATCAGCCTCTACAATGCATGATTTAAAAACAACATACAGCCCAACTGCAGTCCATCATTTCCTGAAACAGACATATGTCAAGAGAGGGTCTCTACCAGTAATCATGTAATATCTCAAACTACAGTTTCTGTATTTGGTATAGTTACGCTCAATCACCTCTTTATAAAAAACATTAAAGTCAGAGGGGGTCAAAACTGTATGGTACAGTATCCTTAATTGTAGTCTAAAATGAGCATGAATTCATTACCCTCAGGAGATGACTATTGGTATAATCTTTTCTTCCTGTGCACCATACAGTTAGCATCGAAACTCACCCTTCAGTTTTCACTAAACTCCTATGGAACAGATAGCAATCTTCAGAGTCATTTTCTTACGCTACTATAGATGTAACAGTTAAGTGCTTCCCCGAGGAATATGGCACACAATATTCCTCCTTTAAAATCTTTCATAAAGAAGTATTTTGGATTAAGTTATTAACTCCAAAACAAACCAAATCCAACAAATTTTGCCAAGAAACTCCTATATTTTGCCACTTCTAATTTATACACCTGTAGTTAGTAGTTAAGTGCTGAGTCAGCTGTTCTGCTATTTACCATACCTATGAGATGAGTCCAAATGTTTAAGGTTTCTGTGTGGATCCTAAAAATGCTTCTTAAACAGGCACGAAAAGATGGCATTGGTGGCCTGTGGCCATGCAGGAGGTAGTCGTTATCCTTCAACCAATCAGGAAGCACATCATGGGGAATGACACGCCATCGCCCCTCCCATACCTGTAACAGGAATATTTTGTACATAAACAACATTGTAATATTAATGCAGCTCATTTCAAACCATAATATCCAAGTAAATTTGAGAACAAGGGTAATTTTTAACGACATACATACAGCAAATCACAAAACAAAATCAAACGAATGAATCTCAGGCAAATGATCCCCTCCACAAGACTGCCAGGCTTAAGTTAAAAATTACCTCCATGTGTCAAAAAAATTCTTGTTAATTGTTAATTCTTGTTCATGAAATTAGTTTAAAAATCTGAATTAAAAAATTTAAAATGAATCACCAAAGTGTGCAACTTGCAAAGTTGACTAAGTCACGTTTTAAACAAAATATACAAACCAATGCACATAAACTGATAGGAAACAAAATTTTACAAGTAGAAGAAATGGCAATTACCATCAGCCAATTTTCTGCAAAGACCAGAGAAATTCACAAAAATAAAGAGTAATACATACATATAAAACACATTTAAGTTTAAGATGTCAGTAGCTACATTGTGAAAACTTGAGAGCTCATTTCTTACATGGTGAAATATATGAATTTCCTCATATTGGCTTAAGTGCCCAGTAATGAAAACATTCAGACTTCTGTAGTACTGCATTCCTGGCTTCCCGCTATTATTAGTCCTGCGTTCATTGGAAATTGGATTTTACCTGGTAGCCAGAGTGAGAATGTACACAGAAACATAGCAATTAGGAGCAGGAATAGGCTTTTCAGCCCTTCAAGCTTACTTTGCATTTCAATAAGATCATGGCTGATCCTGTATCTCAATGCAAGAATCCCACTTCCTCCCCATAAACCTTTATGTCTTTAAAATCTAAAAATTTATCTTTCTTGAATATATTCAGCAACATGCCCTCCACAGCCTTCCGTGGTAGAGTATTCCACAGATTCACTTTGAGTGAAGAAATTTTTTACCATTTCAGTCCTAAATATTCAATCCCTATCCTAAGGTTCTAGGATCCCATGGTTCTAGACTCCCCAAACAGGGGAAGTATTCTTCATGCATTTAATCTGTTCAACTCTGTTTGCAATGTGTAAAATTTTCTCAGATCCCCTCTCATTCTTTTAAAGTCAAGAAGATAGGCCCAGTCAAACTAATCTCTCCTCACAGGACAGTTCTGCCACCGCCACTTATCAGCTTAGTGAACCTTTGCTGTACTCCCTCTACGGCAAGTCTATTCTTTCTTAGAAACAAAAACAGAAGTTGCTGGAAAAGCTCAGCAGGTCTGGCAGCATCTGTGAAGAGAAATCAAAGTTAACATTTCAGGTTCAGTGACCCTTCCTCAGAACTTCCTCACCAGACCAGAAACAACTTTGATTTCTCTTCACAAAGGCTGCCAGACCTGCTGAGCTTTTCCAGTAACCCCTCTTTCTGTTCCTGATTTATAGTACCTGAAGTTCTTTCGGTTTCTATTCTTAGGTAGGGAGACCAAAAGTGCATGCAATACTCCAGGTGAGATCTCATTAAGGTCCTATATAAATGCTGCAAAGCACCTCTACTTCTGAATTCTCATCCTCTTGCAATGAAGGCTAATATACCATTTTTTATTCCTAATTGCTTGCTGCACCTGCCTGTCAACTTTCATTGACTAGTGTACAAAGGTACCTAGATTCCTTTGTATATCCATGCTTCCCAATAAATTCAGAAACAAAAACAGAAATTGCTGGAAAGGCTCAACAGGTCTGACAGCCTGTGTGGAGAGAAATCAGAGTTAAAGTTTTGGGTCCAGTGACTCTTTGTCAGATTTGATGGCAGCTAGGAAAATGAGGGTATATTTGGAGAAGGTGGGGGGGGTGGTGGTTGTGGAAGTAAACGATAGGTGGAGATAGAGCCAAAGACAGAAAGAACAGCTATACAGACAAAGGAGTGGATAACAATCTGACTAGGAGGGTCAATAGCTGTTAACGGGGACTGTTAGTGACTAACAATGGGTCGTGTGCAATAGCAGACCAGGTGACAAATTGGCCTGGTGTACAGGGGGTTGGGGTAAGGATATGGGACAGCTCACGCCCTAAAGTCATTGAACTCCATATTGAGTCCGGAAGGCTGTAGAGCACACAAGCAGAAAAATGAGGTGCTGTTCTTCCAGCTTGCAAAGAACCTCGCTTAAGCACGATAGCAAGCCTGAGACAGAAATGTTGGCCAGGGCACAGGGTGGTGTGTTGAAGTGACAGGCAACTGAAAGCACAGGGTCTTTTTTGAAGACAGAACATAAGCGTTCTGCAAAGCAGTCACCCAGTCTACACTTTGTTTCCCCAATGTAGAGGAGACCATATTGTGAGCAGCAAAGGCAGAAGGCCAGATTGTGTGAAGTAAAGGTAAAGTGCTGCTTCACCTGGAAGGTGTGTTTTGGCCCTCGAATACTGAGGATGGAGAAGGTAAATGGGCAGACATTACACCTTCTACAGTTGCAGGGGAAGATGTCACGGAGCTGTTTGGGGGAAAGAGGGATTTGAGAGTGAAGGAAGAGCGGACCAGGGTTCCCCAGAGAGAACAGTCCCTGCAGAAGACTAACGAGGGAGGGGATGGGAGGGGACTATGTGTTTGGTGGTGGCATTGCGCTGGAGGTGGCGGAAATAGCAGCTAATAATCCTCCGGATGTGGATGCTCGTGGGATTGTAGGTAAGGACAGGGGAACCCTATCGCTGTTGCAGGAGAGAAGAGAGAAGGTGAGGGGGCAAGTGCGGGAGATGTGTCGGACCCAGCTGAAGGCCCCTGTCAACAATGGTGCTGGGAAATCCTTGTTAAAGGAAGAAGGTAGCTCCGTTGTCAAAGTTGGCATCATTGGAACAGATGTGATGGAGACGGAAGAACTGGGAGAATGGAACAGTCTTTACAGGAAACAGGGTGTCAGGATATACATATGTAACCATTTAAATACTATTATTCCTTTCTGTTTTCCACACCAAAGTGCGTAACTTCACATTTAGCCATGCTGTACCTCAACTGCCATATGTTGCCCACTCTCAGCATGTCTTAATCATCCTGCATCCTCTTCCCAACTCTCTGTCCAACCCAGTTGTGTCATCAAACTTGGTTCCATTTGGTTCTCTCATCCAGGTCATTTTTGTACATCAGGAATAGCTGGAACCTGAACATTGATCCCAGCAATACTAACTAGCCACTCACCCATACTCAGAAAATAACTCATTTATTGCCACTCTGTTTCCTCTCTGTCAACCAAGTTTCGATTCATGTCAACTGATTAGCCCCTATCCCACGTGCTTTAACTTTGCCCATTAACCACTTGTGAACAACCTTATCAAAAGCAATTTGAAAATCTAAATATACCACATCCACTGTTTCTCTCGTTTTGGCGTGTTTCAAGACTTGCAAAAAAATGGAAGAAACTGAAACATTACTAAACTGGCTACAAACCTAAAGACTAAAAGTTTATCTTTTCATTAGGTTTCTGCTGGCTTCAACAAATTATTGATCTACATTGAATTTTTTTTATTGATGAGCAACAATCAGACATGAATTAAATATCATTAGGTATATGATTGGACTAAACAACAGTTTATATGTTAAAAGATTGTATTTTTTTAATAAAATGAGATTCTAACAATAAAAGTGAACAGCCATTGTGACTAATCACAAACGAAGCATGGATAGATTAGATGGCCTATGTGTTGTAAACACTTCTCTACTGTGCCAATGTTTTTCATTCCTTTGACTGCTTCAGTCTGCTTGCCCAACATCAAATCATAGACATCACGATACTGTACAAATAAAAAATTCATAAACTCTTCCATTCATCTATTTCTTACAACCTCTACAGTAACATGTAGTAGAATGATATACATTAAGATTTTATTTTGTTTAAAGAAAACGTAACAAATATTTTAAGGTGATAAGACCTTGTCAGGTAAATTTAGAATGAATACTGGGTTTGATAAAGATTTATAAGGATCAACACCATGAAATACAAAGATGACAATTTTTTTTCAGAACTGTGGAATTTATTTATTTCTAATTGGTTAACTCACCTTGTGAACAAACTCTTCCATCTTTTCCATAGCATGATATGCTGGTAGCAGTGGCGCAATGCCCATGAATCCCTCTTCCTCAATCATTTCACTTTCTTCAGATTCCATGTTATCCTGGAAGATAACAACATACATTCAAAAATGCTGCCAAAACCCTGATTTTTAGTCAGTTTGTTAAAACCAGTCTAAGGGCTATTTAGCCTATTAAACAATATACCCCCAATCCTTCAAAATCAGAATAAAGTCTCCTTGTTTAGAGAGTCAGAACTTCTATTTTGTCCTAACTGTACAAAGTGCCATATTGTCAAATATACAAGTTACTGTTTACCAAAAGTACATAGAACATAGAACATAGAACATTACAGCGCAGTACAAGCCCTTCGGCCCTCGATGTTGCGCCGACCTGTGAAACCAATCTGAAGCCCATCTAATCTACACTATTCCATTATCATCCAAGTATCAAACTTAATTAATGGTGAGCACATAAAAGTGAAAAACCGTAATTACTTTCAAATATCAGGTTTACAAAAGCTGCTAAATGGAAAATATTTTTTATTCTTCTAGTTTTGAAAGTACCACAGCAATATTCCTCAAATATCAATGCAACGCATGATACAGGCAAGGTTCCATTAATTATCCACACCAATTCTGTACCCCTCAATTGCATCCCCCACAACCATCTC